TTCTCTATTGAGTTCTACCAGACTTTTAAAGAAATTTGCCAAGAACTAATGCTAATCTTCCTCAAATTACTTTATGATACAAAAAGGGAAGAAACACCCCTAAAATCATTCTCTGAAGCTAGGATTACCCTGATACCAAAGCCAGACAGACATGTCAAAGGAAAAAAATACTACAGACTAATATCCCTGGTGAATACAGATGCAAAAATCCTTAATAAAATATTAGCAAACCACATTCAAAAACATATTAAGAAGATAATGCACCAACATCAAGTGGGTTTCATCCCAGGGATGCAGAGTTGGTTCAACAGATACAAATCAATAAATGTAATTCACCACACAAAAAAATAGAATTAAATAATCACATGATCATCTCAATAGATGGAGGAAAAGCCTTTGACAAAATCCAGCACCCATTTATGTTAAAAACTTTTGAGAGAATAGAGCTACATGGAGCTTACCTCAACATTATAAAGGCTATATATAACAAACACTAAATCAACGTCATACTGAATAGAGGAAAACTAAAAGCATTTCCTCTAAAATCAGGAAGAAGACAAGGCTGCCCATTCTCACTACTTTTATTCAATACGTTTCTTGAAACTCTAGCCAGAGGAAAGAGATGAAAATTAAAGGGATAAAAAGAAAATACACAAAAGTAAAATTACATCTGTTTGGTGATGAAGTGATCCTATATATAGAAGACCCAATAAACTTGACCAGAAGACTACTAGAATTGATTTTAAAAAATCAAAGCAGTAATAGGATATAAAATCAACATATAAAAGTCAATAGTTTTCCTATACTCCAACTCCAATAATGAGCCTGTTGAGAAAGAAATCAGGAAAACACTACAATTCACAAGAACTTCAAAACTAAAATGAAATACTTGGGAATAAATCTAATCAAGGAAGAGAAAGACTTTGTCAATGAAAACTACAGAATGCTGAAGCAAGAAATTAAAGAATACCTTAGAAAGTGCAAAGACCTTCCATGCTCTTGAATAGGCAGAATTAATGTTTTAAACATATCCAAAGCAATCACCAAAAAAAAAAAAAAGCCAATGACATTTTTCATAGAACTGGAACAGTTCTAAAATTCATTTAGGAGAATAAAAGACTCAAAAGAGCCAAAGCAATACTGAGCAAGAAGAATGATGCTGGAAGTATATTAATACCTGATTTCAAATTATACTACAGAGCTATAGTAACAAAAGCAGCATGGTATTGGCATCCAAACAGACATGAAAACCAATGGAATAGAGAAGACAACACAGGGGCAAACCCACATAAAAACAGTCATCCCATACTCCATGAAGGTGACAAAAACATGTTGGAGAAGACAGCCTTTTAAGCAAATGGTGCTGGGAAAACAGGATATCCATATGTAGGTGAATAAAATTAGATCCTTATTTCTCACCCCGTACCAAGTGAAAATCAAACTGAATCAATGACCTAGGAATAAGACCCGAAATGTTGCAACTGTTAGAAGAAAACAGAGTCAATACTCCAATATGTTGGGGCAGGCACCAACTTCCTTAACAATACCCCTTAAAGCTCAAGAAATAAAAGCAATGGATTGGAGTTGTAGCTCAGTGATAGAGTGTTTGCCTAGCATGTGTGAGGCACTGAGTCTGATCCTCAGCACCACATATAAAAAAAGTGAAATAAAGGAATCATGTCCAATTACAAAAGGAAGAAAGGGAGGAAGGAAGGACACACTTAAGTGGGACAACATCAAATTAAAAACCTTCTGCACAGCAAAAGAAACATTTACGAGCATAAAGAGAGCCTACAAAATGGGAAAAAAATCTTTGCAGTTATTCATCTGACAGGGGATTGATATCCAGAATACATAAAGAACTCAAAATGCTTAACATCAAAAAAGTAAACAAAAAAACCCAATCAATAAAAGGGAAAAAGAACAGGCATTTCCCAAGAATTATAAATGGCCAAAAAATATGATAAAATGTTCAACATTCCTAGCAATTAGGGAAATACAAATCAAATTACACTGAGATTTCATGTCCCCACTTTTAGAATGGCAATCAAGATAGGAAACAAGAATAATTGCTTCCAAGGGTGAGAGAGAAAAGGTACACTGATACCTTGTTGATTGGACTGTAAAATAGTATAACCACTTGAGAAAGCAATATGCAGATTCCTCAAGACTGGGAATGGAATTGCCATATGACCCAGCCATCCCACTCCTTGGTATTAATCCAAAAGAACTAAAATCAGCATACTGCAGTTTTACAGGCACTTCAGTGTTTATAGTAGCTCAATTCAAAACAGCCAAGTTATGGAACCAGCCCAGATGCTCATCACAGATGAATAAAGAAAATGTGGCATACATACAAAATGGAGTTTTAGTCAGCTTTAACGAAGAATGCAGTCATGTCATTTGGATGGAACTGGAAAGCATCATGAAAAGTGAAATAAGCCAGACTCAGAAAGTTAAAGGTAGAGTCTTTTTCTTATATGCTGAAACTACAGTAAAATATGCGGGGAAAAGAAGTGGATACCATGAATATTCTCAGGAGATCACTGGAGTGTAGTAAGAGGATAAGAGGGAGAAGGGAGAAATGGGAAAGGAGAGGAACAGCTAATGAAGTTGACCAAATTATGCTGTTAATATGCGTGAATGTACCATGGTGAATACCACACAGGAACATGATCCAGCCAACCTCCAGAAGTCACTGGACCTATACCTATAAAATACCAATTTATGAAAACAATAAATAGATGGGGGAAAGGAATGGGGGTGAGGGAAGAGGTAATGGGAATTGAAATAAAGCAGTTATATTCCACGCATGTGTGATTGTGTCAAAATGAACTCCACTATTAAGTGTAGCTATAAGGCACTAATAAGAACAAAAATAAAGATTAAAGGAGAAAACAAAATCCTAATACTTAAAGAAGTAAATAGTAAATTTCTATATAAATTTGAGATGCAATGTTTATATTTTCTAGAAAGACAGACGTACTGAGATAAAATTTACATTTATGTCTGATTTCTTTGAGTGCATACTGTTATGCAACCCAAACAATCTATACCCCCAAATTCCACCATGCCATATGGTAGTTAACCCTTTCAAACCCTATGCCCTTGATACCACTAATTCATCCTTTCCTGTCTCTATGTTTGCCTTTTCCACAGCTCATAAACGGAGTCATACAGTAGGTAACCTGCATTTGACTTCCTTCACAAAGAGATACTCAAATGGGATGTCTGAAGGTTCAGGTGTACAGTCTCTAGAGCGTAGTAGTGGTTGCCTGGCTTCATCTCTTCAAAATTACCAAATTTTAGGCTTATGTTTCCTGCATTTGTCATTTGACATTTAAATTGATCTAATTCAATTTCTATATCTTGGTAAGGGATCTTCATTAAGAACAATTATTCATCCTTTAAGCAGAAGTGAATGATATCTAGACCAGTTCCAACTGAAATGAATTCTGGCACCAGATACTGTCCTGGAGGTGCAGGTCCATCTTTATCAGGGAAGTAGCATATCAGTGGAGCTATACTAGGGCACAAATACAACCCTTGTGACTAACTTCACCAGCTCTGCTTCTTCCACCTTAACACAGATCTCTCACTGACTGGCTAGCTGACATCCCTTCTGCCCTAACTGGAGTCTGGCAGGGAGACCATATTTTCTGCCCTCAGGGGAAAAACTCATGTTTGGAAATGAACAAGTGGGAGCCTGAATAACCAGTCCCAGTGGGATTTGGCTCAAGGTTCAATGGCATCAAACACAGGAACATGATCCAGCCAAACTCCAGAGGTCACTGGAGTTGAATGAAGAGGCAGGATGAGGTCTAGAGGACTCTCCAGGGCACCCCACATTCACCTAGCAGGCACAGAAGGTTTGAGGGAAAGCAGTGGCTTGGGTAGGCACTTAATGAGGGAATGGGTGCAAAGCAGGTCCCATTTGGACCCAATGGAATTTTCCAACTCAAACCTCACAATCTGCCACTTATTCCCCTAGAGCTGAAAAGTTCAGCTTCTACAATGGCTAATGATGTGGTATACTCCTTACAGAAACATTCTGTAACTGGTATGAATTGAAAGAGCTAACAGGCAAGGGGAAGACTGGTTGACTAGCTAGGACTTGGATGTTATGAAAGTTCTGATGCCTGACCATCAGTTTCAAGTGCTGGAAAGTCATTTTGCCAAGGTTGAACCAGACACTCACTGCCTCCACCTACAACCCAGAGACAACTCCATATTTTTCTCCAAGTTCCCTGTACCTTCACCTTGCTCTGCCACTCAGGACTCAGAGTGCCATGGAATGTGACCTCTACCTTTACCCTCTTCTAAAAAGAAGGTCAACTGACAGGATTTAGCAACTGAACTTCAACAGTGAGAGCTAAGCAGGAACTAAGGATGATGGGCAATTTGTAGCTGAGCTGTATATCTATGGGGTGCTACAAGTGGAAGACAGCGAGTCCAGAAAGAGGTCTGGGTCTGAGAGCAGGAGACGAGCTCTGGGTCTGAGAGCAGGAGACGAGCTCAACTCTGCCCTCTAATGCCTGTTGAAATAACTCAGGAAAGGCCGCCAGGGAGAGCCTTGGGAGATATTAAGGATGCTCAGGATGGAAAAGAAGGGTGAGAAGGGAGAAACAGGACAGGGAAACAAAGCAGGGAAAGTAGAAGGCGCAAGAGCTCTGGAAGAGGTTCATCAGTTCTGCCAAAGTGGGGACAGGAGGCAAGAATGGGTCTTATGAGATAAGGACCCAGCAGAAAGCACCAAGAGGGTCACAGGGCAAAGGGAGAAAATGCTAGTATGGCCGGGCCCAGCCCACACAGGACTCAGAGAGCTATGGTAAGCCTGAGCAGGAGCCCTGTGCTCAGGCTTACCCAGATTCCCCCCAGGGAGAGGCCCCACATAAAATGCCAATGGTACTGTTCTTAACTTGCTTTGAAACAGGAAAGATCCCCATCTTTCTTCTTTCCCTGCAGACTTTCACCCCTAAGACAGACAGCAAGCCACAAAATATGAGAGGCACTTTAATTCCAAACTCCTGTGGATTGTGGTGGATAAGTGCAAAATGGGGGGGGGGGGCAGAAAAGAACCACCAGGTGCTAATAATCAGAGGGAATCAGCTTCGATGCTGCTCCTGGGCTCCACAGGTACCAGCTGCTCATCTTATAGGAAGGTAATGGGTTGAACCTGTGAAGCAGATCAGAGTCAGGGTTGCAATATGACCAGGGCCAACCCACAATACTCCCAGATAGCTAAAATTGTGAGAAAGGGATATTGTAAACCTTATACTCACTTCAAAGAGCCTGGAACTTGTCCGTGAGGGACTGCATTGCAGCTGAAATATACAAGTATAAGTGGGCACTCTAGTAATAGATGTATGGAAAACTGTCTGCCTACCCCCACACTGTGGGGAACTGCTAGCCCTGCAACCTCACTCCAAAAGCCTTGTCCAAACAGCTCCTAGGACTGACTCCCCCAATGATCATTGAAATACAACATCAAACCGTTTTCTCCAAGACAACATGTACCAGTAGTACTCAAACAATGGGCCATGGCAGACCCATTCAGAAACACAGTAAAAACAAGCAAACAAACATCAAACAAGCCACACCAACCAGCAATTATAGAGAAATAAAGGAGATCTCTAAAGATCTTTACAGAAGGACATGTCTATGGCAAAATATGTGGAGTGGAAAATTCATTGCTCTTTTCACACAGATCTAGCAGTCAATGCACAAAAAACTCCAGGACCAGGCATAGGAATGTCCTGCCCTAGGGTACGATCTATATCTACAGCCCCACCCTGCCCCAGGCCACCCTACTGGGAGACCCAGATGTCTGCCTTTGTCCTACCCCTGTCCCAACCCAGGGCTTCTCATACCTAATTGTTCTTTGAGGTCATCTCTTTCTTTTTGCAGGGCCACACACTAGTCCAGCAAGCATTAGAGAAAGAAAAATGAAGATAATATTCTGGCCTCCTCTCTCTGATCCTCCCACTCATCCCCCACTCCTTATGTTCCTCATACCCCAAATCCTGTGGCAACACAGGCAGGGAGTCCTCAGTGAAAAGGAGGAGTCCTCAGTGAAAAGGAGGAGCCCTCCCTCCCTTGGACATGAGATCTGAGGGTGCACCTAATTCTGCTTAACCTGGACATGAAGTCCACCATCTAGTTGGGGCAATCATTTCTAGGATCCATAGAAAGCATTACCCAGGGACAGTCCAATGCTCCATGTGGTTGCTCTTGCCTTTCACGAATCAGAGGATGCACAGCTGACGCCTGGTCACCTGAAAGAACACACAAAATCCAGCTCCCCAGTCTGCCTGGGAAATAAAGAGGGCCTGGCTGGGTCTAAAGTGAGGCAGCAGCTCCCTCTGCTGGCAGCAAGTTGCATTTGCTCTGCCCAGCATTTCCACCTATCTCTGAGCCTGTCTTCCCTACTCCCCAGGGTCAGCCACAGGTGTGGCCCCCTAACCCGGAGGCTCTGGAATGGACACTAGCAGAGGTGCAGCCATAGCAAGCCTCTGGGAGAAGCCATATGGCCGAAGAGGACCCAACATAAAAGGCTTTGTTCTGAAGTCTACTTCAGGGCTTGTGTTTGGGAAATTGCTACAAATTATCCCTACTACATAAACCCAAGCAGGGAACCAAGATGCCTGAGGCTGGCCATGCCCATACTTAGTTACCTGCGGGAGCACAATTGGGTAGCCAGGGAAACCTGGGGGCAAGGTTGGGCCCTGAGAAGTAAGGGAGCCAAAGGTTTCCCTTCCCCTCCCTCTTCCCTTCCATCAAACATATAAGACTCACCAAAGGGTGCAGGGGCTCTGGTTATTCGGCCTCCCTGGTTCAGATCCCAGGTCTGGGAGCCTCCTGGAGGTTGGGAAACTCTGATGTCGGGGTCACTTCTGCCGATATCTCCAGTATGCATAAACATGGCAGGCATCCCTGGCTGGTGCATTGAAAGCTAACAAAAAATTTCTCACTGAGTCAGGTTAGGGGATATGCCTGTAGAGTATGATTATGTGTGTGCAGGGGATGAGGTGAGGTGGGGATCAGTGGAAGAACCCCAAGGCTCATTTCATCAGCACTGTATCCCTCAAACAGCTGAGGCCAGGAGGTAGAACTGAGTCTGAGAGAAGCAGGGAGGGCAATGAGAAAGTTCAAGTGCCCTGGGGGAAGAGCTGTGAGGGAGAAATCAGGAGGCAGATGGGAATAAACACCCAAGATGAGCAGTCAATACTGTAAGGGGTCACCTGAAATAGTCAGTAGTCAGTCCTGCTACCCATTCCAACCCCCATCTGGGGAGGAGGTAGGAAATGCACAAAGTGTAGGCAACGGACTGGTACCTAGCAGTACTTTCTTGATGTTTGCTCCTACAACAACAACAACAATTTGGCATCCCAATGACAAGTGGGCTCCCAACAACCACCCCTTAGCAAGGGGCAGATGGAACAAGGGCAGAGAAGGGTAGAGTGATGGGGGTGGGGAGGAAGAGGAGGAGGATGAGGAGGATGAAAACCTACTTACATGAGCCTGTGGGACTGCATCTCTACTTAGGCCACTATCTTCACAGGCCACCAGCTGGGACTTCCATGTCTTCTTGGCTATAGATCTCTTTCCAGTGTCACTGTGTTTGGCCTGTTTTGGTTCCAAGGGCAACAAGGAATGCCTCTTGGACATCTCAAGCAGGCGAATACCTGAGACTGAGGGGAAGGTGGCTGGTTCCAATGGAGCTGCCTTGATTCTCTGACCCCATGAAGGGAAGGTCCTGACAAGAGTAACTTTAGAGCCATCCCTCAGGGATTTCTTCTCCTGAATGGGCTTCTTCTTGGGGCTGGCCCTGGGCCGGCCCCCTGAAGCAGCAGCAGAGGCAGTAGCTCCTAGATAGCTATGCCTTCTCCCTCTCTTGCCCCAGAGCACACTTTGCATTTTATTAGAGGAACCAGCTTCCAGCTCTTCCAAAGTCTGCTTTTTCATGGCTGAAGCAAGAGTGCCAGGTGTAGGGGTCATCAGAGGGACTGGCATATGAAGGACATTCCTCCAAGCAGAGGCACTAGTGCTTCTGGCTGTGTTTCCAGGTATCTTGGAGCTGTTGAACACTGCCTGACCTCTTCCTTTGGGGTAAATGCTTTCCCTAATCAGTTGCAACTCATTCAACACATCTGAATATTCAGGAATAACAGAAGGCTGCAGGGCTTCCCTGTTGACCATTATTCTACTTCTGGTTCGTCTCTGTGGGTTCCCCCAGGCCTGTCTTCCCTCAGGCCAACTGGGATGGCACAGTGGGGCAGCAAGGGCTGGCTGCATTTCCAAAGAACTCAGAGCCTGCACACCTCTCCTTCTGAGACCTACCTCTGTGTTAGCCCAAATGGTGGACCCTTCTGCCGCAGAGCTGTCAGGATATAGGTACCTGGGGGAGTCACAGGACTCCCAGCCAGTCAGCTCCTGAATGATGGTTTCAGGCTCTATAGTGAGGTGGGGCATTAAGTCCCAACAAGCCCCCTCATCAGCTGGGGAGTTAGGCCTGGCTTCGCAGCCGCGAAGCACCATGCTGCCTGCGTCCATCTCTTCCCAGTCACCCTCCAAGTTGAACTCAAAATCCTGGGGGTCTAGAAGACCACCCTTGCCATCCCCACTACGTGGTGGCCCCAATTCTAGGTCCTGGCCCAGACCCAGTCTCTGAGGGCCTCTGTGGCCTACTCCGGGCATGCTAGTGCACGTTCCACGGTCCGGAACAAAACCATCTCCCAGAACGGAAGCCTCCTTAGTAGAGCTCATGTCGCCGATCCAAGTAGCCAGTTTTGAGGAGAGACAGTCACTGCAGTCAGGGTTAGAGCTGCTGGGCATTCGGTAACTCAGTCACCACAGGTGTGCCACGAGATTACCTCAAACACCGCAAGGCATTGATTGCCTTTGATGGCCTTGTTTTGGCTTTCTCGTTGATCTTCTCCTGCCAATCAGCATACCCCTTGTTGGGTCATCCCTCTGGGCCCTAGCCAATAGGGATGAAGGTCCTTGGACGCTGCAAAGCACTAATTATACTATCCCTGAACAAGCCAGTTTAGGCAGTGAAGTCCAGGTGTGGGTGCGCTCTGCTTAATTCTTTCCGGGGCAACCAGCATGCCCCTGCCCCTCTGAGCCCTAGCCAATAGGAATGAGGGTCCTCGGACTTTAGCAAACTCTAGTTATACTAGCTCTTGACAAGCCAATTTAGGCATTTTAGTCTAGGTGTGGGTGGGCTCTACTCAGTTCTTACTGTCCTGCCACATTGGGCAGAGAGCCTCTTATCCTATGAGGGCCTCACCTCTTGAGCCACAGTGTCCCATCTATAAAATAGGGGACATAACAATACCTAGCACAGAGGCCTGTGAGGATTCAATGCAATGATGGATGAGAAGCAACCAACCTAGAAAGGATTTGCAAGCCCCTGTTGCCCAAGAGGATGAAAGGCCCAATAGGAAAGTGGGCAAGAAAGTCCATAGTCAGACATCAGCAGTCCAAATTTGTTTGTTTCCTAAAGAGCCAAAGAGAAGGTGTTTGTGATTTGCAGTCTGTGCAGGGTCTCCCTATTACTGAATTACCATAGGTAATCAAAACAGCATATAGAAGTGGGCGAATTTTTCCCACATGCTTACCTACTCCCCCTATGAGTTAATGCAAAGGAGTGAGAATCCCTACAGTCAATGACAGCCCAAAAGATACCACCACTGATCCTGAAAATACAAATTAAATCAATTTTCACATACCATGTTTACAACCCCCAAAAATGGTGGATGAGGTTATGAACAAAGGAAGTTTTTGATGGCTTTGGAAGTATCAGTGTGGAGGAGCAACCATTGGGGAGGCAAATTGTAGTGATTTCACTGTGCTGACACTCTTCTAAGAACTATAGATAAATATTACCTCATCCTTGCTCCTAGGTTTAAGTAATTACTATTGCTGCATTCCTAGGGAAAGGGAACAGGAAAGTTCAGCAAGGCCTGAGCACATCATCTGAAGAAAAGCTAATATGTGTAGTGCACAGAGACACATGCATAAGAAAGTCGGTGAAGAGAACAATCTGGAATGCTCTGGATTTCCATTGGTCAGGGGATGCAGGAATGCAGTGTGATCTATGCATTCATCCAGTAGATGAAAATGAGGAAGCCCAAAGGGGGCACACAAGGCTCTTTTTTTAATATTTACTTTTTAGTTGTAATTGGACACAATACCTTTATTTTATTTATTTTATGTGGTGCTGAGGATTGAACCCAGGGCCTCGCCTGTGCTAGGTGAGCACTCTACCGCCAAGCCACAACCCCAGACCCGCAAGGCTCTTTTAATATACTTTAAAAACTGTCTCAGGACTGCATATGCCAATGTGGAAAGCCTCTCCTGAGCTATTTAGCATCTTCACCTGGCCTTGAGCCAAGGCGATCTTGGTCTGGCTATTTTGTGGCCCCTCCCACTTAATGGATTATGCAATGCACGTGACTTCAGTCTTTGCTCTGGCTAGGGAGACTGATATAGTAGCTCTGGAGTTGGGAGTGACCCTTTGGGAACTGAGCAGTGCACCACCTACCTTAATTGCTAAGAACATTATGTAGAAAGCCTTAGAAGTTCCCCCATATAATAATAATAATAAAGCAAATAGGCACTCTCCCTCTCTCTTTCCAGTGTGGAAGCTCGACCTTTAAGGTTGAAAAGCCGTCCAGTATCTCTCAGCCAGCCCATTCCACGCAGGGGAACCCAGCTTTCGTTGCCTGCACAGGCTGCAGGTGAGAGGCCAAGTTGCAGAACAACGCATGGATTTGGATACACATTTGTAAATTTGAAAATCTGCACCAGTCCTCTGTTTCCTGTGAGAACCCATATAAGTGTGTGTGTAAAAGAATGTGCCAAGAGATTAGATTGGACACAAAAGAAAGCCCTACCAGTTGTAATAGGGAGCCAATTTTCAGTCATATGTTCCTTGAAACTATTGGTTCCCAGCTTCTCCGATCTGTCCAGTATGGTATCTGGGGAGCAATCCCTTCCTGGGTTACTGTAAGGTCCAGGAATACTAGAGTTTCCCTTGCTTGCCGTCCAACTCCTACTATAGCGGCCCTCAATTAATTTCACATCTGCCTGCACCAGCTTCCTACTCATACTCACCTATCTTTCCTGGCCTCATACATTGACAGATCACCCACCAATAGAGGGCAGGGATGTGTAAATGCCTCTCATCTGGGGGAAGTCAAAGGCCTGATGTTTCTGTAGATTGGTTCTGATACACATCTGCAGTAACCTACATCCACAATCTGCTATGACTGTAAAGCCCCTACTCCCACTCCTCAAAATGACTTTTGAGGTCATGCTGGACTATTTCAGCATACCAACAAGGATAAAAAAGGTACTTAAAAATGTTCTCTCAGTGCCTTCAGGACCTTCTGGTGCTCCACCAATGCCTGGTAGCCCCCATTCTTACCATTAAGTTAACAGTGGATGAAGAGATGGCACTTTGCTTTTTGAAGTACACATATATGCAAATGAATGCATATATAAAAATTGCTGATTTCACTATTAGAGGGCATTCATGAAAGAACAACTCTTGCACCTCTCAGAAGATATCTGCCTCTTGGATGTGTAGTACAAAAAATAGAAGATAAAAACATGAAAGTAAATCATTCAGGTGTGATTTTATTTGGTTTTCATGGGGGGAAAATGATTACATTTCTTTGATACAATTTGTTTAAATTATGAAACTACACATTTAAAAATCTAAGATGATATGGATTATTGTTAAAATATTTTGCCAATGAAGTTGTTGCAGATTCTAAGTATTTTTCTATAATCACTCCCGTCCCCCAAATAAGCTTCAAAAACAATCACATTATAATTTAAACAAATGATGCCTCTGAACATTTTGAGCTGCTTTCCTATGTGATAAATAAAACTGGTCCTTTTTTGGTTTTATTTTGGATACACCTTTTTAAACTAATTACTGTCAGATGTTCATTATCCATCCAGTGTTCATTTTTATCCTCAGATTTTTAGTAAAAACTTAGATTTGTTTTATTTTTGCCATATGGATTATATAGCTCAGCTCTAAAACCTGCCATTTATGAAAATTTAATCTTATTTTGCAGTGCTGGGAACAGAACCTAGGGCCTCACACATGCTACATTGACACTGAGCTACACCCATAGCCCTAACTCTTTTCTCTTTTTAATCCATTCAGAGATATGTGTAAATTATATTATTGGAGAACAGATATCTGTTTGTATTACTTTAAAATGGATTATAAGATATGTATATTGCTTTGGGAAGAGCTCAGGGAAAGAATTGTTTTGTTTTAAACCTCAAAACTAGATAAACCCTAGGAATTGCTTTATTGCAACAAGTAGTTTTCATTTCCACAAAACCTGAGGCTTATCTTCTGCCCTGAAGTCACCCTCCACCCCCAGTTCTTTAGAAGGAACACATCTCTTGATGACTCCTTTATATAGAAGACTAGCACACAATGGGTTTTTTTTTATCAGAATATACAGAATATATAGCAGTTATGTTTGGAGACATGACTGTTCTCTTTGTACAAGTGTGAATCAAAAATGTTTCTGTCTTTCAGAGTCTGGTTAAACTATATCATTGTCTCCTGCATAGTTTCCTGAATCTGTAAAGTATTTATGGCTAACAGTTAAGTTCTATATTTGTTGACAGGAAGATAAGTGGAATTGAGTACCATCTTTGAAAACATTATCTTCTACAGTGAAAATAATAAATGGTAGCTCTCCACAACTGAGTTTAAAGCAGTGTGACTGTGTTGTTAAATATTGAGTATTGTTTATAACTACCAAAACAGCTTCAGTTGCTTTCTGGCACCTTGCCTTTAAATCAGTCTTAGATTTGGGATAGATCTGACCTTATTTATCAATAATGATTTGAAAATTTGAATGTATCCATTCGGTTACTCAAATGTGTTGTGGATTTCTCAGATGATTATAGAAAACATTTATGCTGGAGCTGTTTTTTTCTTTGAAATAAAATATTCAGTAGTTTATTTCTCCAGAAATTAAAATGTCAAGAATGCCTAGTGCTACCAGTTTAATGATATGATAGCTACCTCCTTTTAAGAAAAGAATATGGTCACCTTTGAGAGGAACATCAGCATTTAAATGTCCCTTATTTTAAGCAGGTGATAGATTCAAGCTTTCAGAATTGGCAAAGGTATAAACTAAAATTTATTTAGTTATCTTCAGACTGGGAAGTGTTCTTAGCTCTTACATAATGGCAAAAGTATTCTTTTGTTGTTGTTCTTTCAGTTCTTTTTAAGAACAGGTAGTAACTATATCTACCATACTCTAAGGACTCTAGTCAAAGTAGTCTCCAGTCTACAAAACAGGTAACTTTAGGTATCAGCCTAAATTTATCAGTCAGTATTAAGCTGTCAGTTAACTGGAAGGGTAAGATAGGAAAATGAGAAAGCAAAGATACCTCTATTCATAGTTATTTTGACTGTCCTAAATTGAGATAACTCTGGCTTTAGATGAAATATTTAATGTAACACCACTAAAAGAGGTAGCAAGTGTGGAGATCTATAATTGTGGAGTCCATTTATTATGGGAAAAATATTTTACTAAACAATTCGAAGGGCCATAAGGCCAACATTTGAAATTATTACTCCTAAAAGTATTTAGTAACTTTGCCAGTGACCTTTTTTTCCACGAATCTTATGACTGGTACTTGTATCTTTGTAAAGCTCATTTCTCTAATTGTCCAGGGTTTGCAGTGGGGATGTCTCAATTCTTGTGGGTACTCTG